TATCGCGTAAAGGATATTCGTTTAAATCGACATCAATTTTTCTTCTCAAACCATGCACATAGCATACCGAAAGGGAACTATGAATTATAATAATTGTCCAGACTAAAATCGAATCACCGTCTCTTTACTCGATCTCATTATAAACAATACATATTACCCTTTAATTCGCTCGCTTTTTATACAGAGTTTTTGCGATCTACTGGCGAGCATATCATATTGCGAGTTTAATCAACGCAAGTTGTATATAATAATTAACTGGAGAGGTCGTGATAATTAATTTAATATCTTGTACGAGTCCATCTTGGGAACGGAATCGACTTTTCGGGTGAATAAAGGTGGAGTTAATTCCTTCAGGTAGTTCGGCATAATTCATTCAGCATCGAAGGGGACTTCTCCAAATTGGAGTAAAATGTCGGAGTTATGTAGGACGAGACTAAACGCATTCGCGCGCTAATCGATGCGAATCGATACGTTCGCTTCAGTGGGCATTGATGCGTACCGAGCACACAGCACTGCCTGTAAAATGTCGGGTATTCAAAGTAAATAACAAGGCCAGTAACAGTTTTATTGTGCAACGTATGGGGAGCCTGTAGAGGTCTCATCGATTTTCTCTCCCGGAAGATTGGAAACGCTCTTATCGAACGTTGGAGACGATGAGAGCCACTGTCGCCGAAATAGCTTCAGGTCCCTGATCGATACTCACTGTAGTCCTTAATGTCCTTAAGGTGATATGAAAGTGGCAACAAAGATGTTTCATGAAACTTTTCTCCTAACCGGGTGCACCGAATCGTTTAATTCACCTTTATCCCGTTTAAATACGAGTTTATCGATTACCAGAGTGTTCTCAATTGTCGTAAAATTGTCCTGACCCTTTCGTTTCTCATATCAGAGCCTTCGATAATTGTATATTGATCGAAATATGAGAGCTCGACGCCATTTTAATTCTGGTCTGGGCTAAGTTAAAAATTTGTTTTTAAAAATCCAAATTTTAAATGGGTCAGAACAATTCTTAGATGATATCAGGAATGATGTGTCGAAGTTTGAGACAGTTTGGTCTAATACCTCTAAAAAAAAGTGTTGTATTCGAATCGACTGATTTGAAGGGGGTTGCACCTTAATTGGTGCAAAATTTGGCCCTTGGGATTCCTGGCTAGAAGTAGGCACGGATTTGCAGCATCGAGCTGTAATCAAAGTTCGCGCGCATGTTACGCCCCTCTGCGAGCCATTTCCATATCACCTAGCCGAGTGGAAGTATGCTTTCCTGCCGTTTAATGTCGGCTTTCAGGAACTTTCTTCATCAGAACGCTTTCTACCCGCTCTCCGATTGCCGATCCAGAGAGAACAAACTGCAGCCAGGTGAAATAAATTTTTCGGCTCGGTAAAACGTTCGTGTACACATTTATAAGGTGTAATCAGAGCCACCCGTAAAGAGGATGCAAGGGACCCGGAAATCACTAATCGCATGGTCATTTCCCAAAAAATAAGAAATAAAAGCGACTAGAAATATCACAGCAGCTGGATTAATAATTCCCTGCTTTCCAGCATTTTTATAACGAGTATCTGGATCTGCGACAGGGATCATCAATACCCATATACACGTATACAAAGAGAAATGTTCGGATGATAATAACACAATTGGAATGCTTGAAATTTAGCGCACCTTCGGATCGATACCCGAAAGATATATTTAAACTGTTAAAATGCAACACGTGTCATAATGTTAATACATTATTGATGCGAGACGAGCATCGGCGTTTTCCATCTCTCGAGTGTCGTTTCCGAAGACCCGTTTCGCAGTTTATCAATCCGTTGATAGGTCAGTTTTTCTTTCCTCCATTTTGGAGTAGTCATCCCAGACTTTTTACTTCCTTACTTTTTACTTTTTACTTTTTACTTTATCTCGATTTCCAAGGGGATTATTTCCGGGTCCAATTTGGAGGGAGGAAAATTTTCCGAAGTTTCTTCCGCCCTAGGCTCGCTAGGATGCATCCATTGGCAGGACGACACGGTCCGCTTCGTCATCGGAGATGAGCTGGCGAGACTTTTATTTACAGGCGTCCCCTCTTGCCGGTCCAAACGGGGACATCGGTAGAGTCCCAGGGCCGACTGGGGCTTGGCAGAGATCTAGTCACGAGAAAAATGGAACGATCCCTGCAGAAAGGAGGAGCCGAAGTACCGAAGGGGCGCAAAGGGCGCCCCGCGAGACGTGCTCGAATAAACAATCCACCCTCTTGCCAAGGGAGAAAAAAAACGGGGCAAGCAGGTGCAGAACCGTGGAAAGCTTTCGGACGAATCTGTAAACCGACCACGATGTGCTCCGAAAAAAAAAAAAAAATACAATCAATAGTTACAAAGTGTGTAAAAATGTGTGTAAATTTGCATCGACTTTTATCAAGGTGTAACCCTTCAGCGTTTCGCTACTCATTAACTACTACTACTACTTAACTACCCTTCAGCGTTTCGCTACTCATTAACTACTACTACTACTTAACTACCCTTCAGCGTTTCGCTACTCATTAACTACTACTACTACTTAACTACCCTTCAGCGTTTCGCTACTCATTAACTACTACTACTACTTAACTACCCTTCAGCGTTTCGCTACTCATTAACTACTACTACTACTTAACTACCCTTCAGCGTTTCGCTACTCATTAACTACTACTACTACTTAACTACAACTAACTTTAACTACTAAAAAAAAAAAAAACAATCAATAGTTACGAAGTGTGTAAAAATGTGTGTAAATTTGCATCGACTTTTATCAAAGTGTAATCCTTCAACGTTTCGCTACTCCTCCGTGAAATTGAAATGAAAAAGTCCGAAGTTGTAAAATTAGCATACCGCGGCGAGATCCAGAAATGTGTTATATTAAATTCCTCGGTAGTTTGGCGATATTTATTTAACAGCCCACTTAGACAACTCTGAAAGTCGTGCGGCTATTTAGGGCGTGGATGCACCGAGTGGATAAATGCAACCACTGCAATCATGCGAACGAGCATGCACTTTGCCAGGGCGTTTCCGTGATATCGCGTTGTCACCGAGCGGTCTATTTCGATGCACAAAAGGTTCGACACACGCGAGCTTTTTCCTTCTTTTTCTCCCCCTTTCCCTTTTGGTGTCATCGATCGTTATATGGGGTACACCCATGGCCACGGATATATTCTCTACGAATACGGTGCCCGAGTGATAAGGAGACGTCACCGGGCATTGACATGTATTTTCTGGTGCGAGATCTCGGAACGATCGGGCACCGATATTTACGCTTTGTTCTTTATGCTTTTTCCTTCCTTTTATCCCCCTTTCCCTTTTGGTGTCATCGATTGTTATATGTGCCCATAATTATGAAAGTGGTCTAAGTCATATATTTTTTGTTTCGAAATTACATTGAATTAATTTAGTTTGAAATAATGTGGCGTGGAATAACTGATAAACTCATTTTTTTTTCAATTTTGACTTAGACCACTTTCATAATTATGGGCACATATGGGGTACACCCATGGCCACGGATATATTCTCTACGAATACGGTGCCCGAGTGATAAGGAGACGTCACCGGGCATTGACATGTATTTTCTGGCGTGAGATCTCCGATCGATCGGGCACCGATATTTACGCTTTGTTCGCAGGAGATCATTTCCGGTTGCCCTCTCTCGTTTTTCCATGGAGAAGCTCCCGAAGCGAGCTTTTAATTCACCACCTTTCGTGCGAGCCCTCCCGGGTCCGTCTCGAAATGAACTTCCGGCTTCCCTGACAATGGGATGCCCCTGGCCACGCACCGCGCCGGGGAAGTCTGATTAAGTTTCGCGATCCTCCACAAAAAACCTGTCACTTTTCGACCCGCGGCCTCACTTTTCGCCCGGACGGGCTTTAATGTGCCCAAAAAGTGAGGAGAGTCCCCGGTTTTGGCTTCCGCTATTCGGAATAAAATCCCTCCATTGTTCTCCCAGGATCGTAAACTCCGCGCCTTGGGGTTATTCACTCAGGAAATTATGAAACTGAATGCTCGAAGTCACGTGGAAGATCAGCTGGAAATCGATGAACGTCGTTGGAAATCACCGAAACATCCCCGCACAAAGCTGAACGTCACTTGGTTATCAAAAGAGGACATTATGAACATTAACGCTCGAAGTCACGTGGCAATCAGCTGGAAATCCCGAAGAGAAATCAGTGGGGACAGTTGAAAATCACCGAAACATCGTCAGGATGCTAAGGCCGGATGTCACTCGTTACCTAATCACATTGACATTTATCACATGAAATGAAAAGCAATCGATTATCACAGAAGGACATCGTTTTCACTGATTCCCGAGTGAATAGCCCCTCGCATCGCACATCGAGCCGACCACGACTACAGCAGAAATGAAAGAGAAAATATAGAAAAATTCGTTTTCTCTCTTTTATAAATGAAATAAGGAAACCCGAAACCGTAGAGCAACGTGGCGGAGGTAGGTACAACAGGAGGAGAGAACGGGTTGGCTCTTTTTCACTTTTACATCGCTATCACGAGAAATAGTTCGGTCTGTTCACAGTCTACACGTCCGTTTACGATCTGTACCCGTTTCCACTTGGTCGAATAACTTCCACCCGAAGGAAACCCTCCTCGTAGCATTCGCCAATTATTTTTCACTCCAGTTACCGTGGGCTAAAGTAGCGGTCTATTTCCCCGGGCTCCGTCGATACAGCGCCGTTTAATTACCGCATGGGAGCAAGCGTTGCAAAAGTTTTCCCGGAAACTGGCAATTAATATCGCAACATCGACGGGGGGAATAAACGGGCTCTTACCGAGAGGCGAATAAGGTCGTTTAATTTCCGCGATTCTGGGAGAATTCTTGGGAAAAGTCGCCGAATCCCGATGACGGTCTCTCCCTCTTTAGCTGGGGGGGAGAAGGAAAAAAAGGCGACCGAGGGGATCGCGTTCCCCATTTTCCCAGCTTAATTCGCAAATACGACGGCGGGGTTCTGATTAAGAGCTAATTCGAACCTCTCTTTCGCAATTACCTCGCTTCGGTGTCCCCTGAGATTGTAATTCGCTCTCAGGGGAAGTTCGGCAGCTCTCGTTCGACAATGAGACGTTGTGAACGTCACGCCGACCAGTCCTCTTGCATTTCCCGTAGCCAGCCATCCCTCCTGGTAGTAATTTGTGCGGTTCAGCTTCCATCCTTCATCCTGGAAAACATGAAAGAAAAAAGGATTTAATTAATGCCCCCTGGGTAATGCCATTTTTTTACAGACCAGAAAAGAACAAACTAATGCGGTTTTCAGGCATCGTCAGTTGTCCCCCTCGGGGGCACGGTAGTATATTGTTTAAATTGTCTGTAAATTTCATACATTTTTATCCCCTATTCCTGCAATCTCGCGACGTATAAATACTGAATATTTTAACACGTTTCAAATTAATTTTCATTTTATATCAAAGGTTGTACATTGTTCAAGTTGTCTGCTAAATTTCATACATTTTTATCCCCTTTTTCCTGCAGTCTCGCGACGTATAAATACTGAATATTTTAACACGTTACAAATTAATTTTCATTTTATATCAAAGGTTGTACATTGTTCAAGTTGTCTGCAAATTTCATACATTTTTATCCCCCTTTTCCTGCAATCTCGCAACGTATAAATACTGAATATTTTAACATGTTTCAAATTTTCATTTTATATCAAAGGCGGGATGAGCTTATGAAACAAATATATATGATTCGTTGCCTGAATCATATATGATTGCAAGAAACGATTATTTCGTTGAGATGAAAAATTACATAGTTGATTTAAACAAAATTTATTCCCTCTTCCTGACATTTATTTCAACGCATCTAATAGCAGGATTTTTTTTTTCTAGTGATGCATCAGAAATTTGGATGCTAGGCTTTTGACTCGTGGGATGTAATTTCAATTTGAAGAAAGGTAAATCCATGGTCCCCCGTCATTAAATACCGTTTTATAGAGCTTAAGAAAGCTCCGGGGATTCCACGTAAAGGAACCTTACTCCTCGGCCAAGAATCCAGAGAAATATGGCCGGACCAAACTAACAGTTAATACGGCCATTAAAAATTCAAATGCTTGCCCACGGCAAGTCGTAAATGCGACTCTTTCACGTGCAAAAACGTCCAGAAGGAAATTTTCCATAATGAAACCCTTTCTTTACTTTTTAATACGAGCGGATGAGCACTTTACATATGCATGTGCGCTGCAATTAAGAGTGCAATTTAAGAGACGGAGTGCACAATTTCCCAAAGTGTGCAGGAGTGAAATTTATCTAATCCTCAAAGTGAAACTCGTACTCGTGAGTAACTCGGGCACTATAAATCGATGAATTATTTCCGCACAATTTATGAACAGCTGTTTTAATTAATTCAAGGCCTGCTAATTATCCACGGGAGACAGTAATCGGACATTATTTCAATTCGTACTTATTTTACTGTATTTATTCATAGCTTTTATACAAGGAACATCGTTTCTTTTTTTATATTTAATTGCAGAGCTTGATAATCGAGTGCACGGTCAATCGGAAGTCGAAACTTTTCCGTGGAATCGATTGATTTGGAAATCCGTCGAGGGTCGGAATTCAATTTGGCGAGACGAGGTTCAGAATGGCGTCCAAGAGTTCAATCGATAGACTTCCGGTTAACAATGTTCCGGAGCTAATCAATTGGGTATATAGTAAATGCAAGGAAGTACATCCGTGATAAGGCGTCGCTTTGATTTAAGGCATCGTCGAGTCATACAAGCCTACGTCGGTCTGTATAAACAGGAAGATATTGGGTCTTGATTAACTTAATTTGGCCATAACTAATCAGTGGGCCGAACTCCGTGCATTAATTGGACAATTCCGGATGCGGCCGTAGGTTAAACTCAGAATTCAATTTAGTTAAATGAACCTTCGAGGGGCGGGGGGCGATTATCACTGGGGGCAAATCGATGGCTTTTGGGGTAATGAACCGCGACAATTAATTATTGGGCAAAGCCTAATTCACGGAATGTTAATGCCGTATGGAATCCCCGGAATTCCTGAAGTATCGAACGTACATAAGGCAGGTATCGGTGAAGTTAACTATTAACAACAAGATTTAATTACTTATCGTGGACGGATTTTCGGGGGGGACTTATCGCGCGACCTCTCCCCGGGACAAATATTATCCCTGGTGATATCGGGGTATTGGGCCAATCAATATATATTTTCTGGGAAAATATTTACCTCCGGTCGGAAAACACCCGTGATTCGCCTGCCGAAAAAAATGGGAAAAAAAAGAAAAATTTCGCCGGCACGTCGATAATTTATCCGACTGCCTGGCCAATTGCCAGGCCATATCCGGTTACCTTGGGAAGATACATTAGTCGCAGTAATCCATAGACGCGGGCAAATATACATCGTCTTGCAGTAACAGTATTCCGATCCATAAACCGTCATCCATGCCGCAGTGGTAAAAATATAGGAAAAACAAAAAAAAAAAAAGAACAAATAAATTTCAGAAACCCGTACTTCAAGTTTCATTAATTATAACACACTCGCGGATGTACATAATATATTTGATTTTATTTTTCATTTTACAAGCTAATCCAGTAAACTCCATAAAACATAATGGGATTTCCTGTTTCTTCAAGAAGTTAGGAATTTCGCTTACTAATTTAAGGGGTTACACCGCTTTGACCCACCCAAAAATTACAGTAACGTAAAAATTACGGTAACGTAACAAACGAACACGTAAGATGCAGTTTTAAGAAAAAGGTGTAAAATAAACGCGTAAAAATTGTTTCGATTTTTTTTTAATTTCAAAGTGGTATAACCCCTTAAGAGTTAAACTGTATTTCAAGTGTTGGGATCGTTTTATGGGTATATTTCGTATGTGGAGATGGTATATCGTATATGTGGCACTATCAAGAAAGGGACTTCCGGTAGAAAAGGAGCGCGATATCGGGAATGCTTCCGGCTTATTCAAGGTTCGATCGGAAATCTTGACGTATCGTGTTAGCGTGGCCGGGCAATCGAAATCCAATCTCGATTCGGAGTAATCATTTGTTTGAGTTTGTCACGAACCTACCGATTGAGCTTTCCAATCCGACCGGCTGCAAACGAGCGAGTATGTCTTAATCGGGCTTATTGCATGTAATTTATGCGCAACGGGGACGTCTTTCATGTCTTCATTGTTCTTCGCTTTGACGACCCCTTAATTATCCTACGAGAACGTAAGATTACGGGCCCGATTAAATTGTGGCTCCGATTGGATTACTCCGGCGAAATGAAGTGGATCGATATGGGGCAGGGTTGGGTACTTTTTCGTACGGTTTTTTTTTTTTTTTTCAAACTTTCCGGCGTATATTATATATAGTAAATTATGTAATATTACTTCGAGATTACATATTACATTAGTTACGAGCAATTCGAAGAGTCCTTAAGAAATGGTCTTACTACTCGTATGCGACATTTTTCATGGGGATCTTTAAGGTGATGTGAAACCCCCTTCAAATCGGTCGATTCGAATACAACACTTTTTTTTAAGGGCATTAGACCAGACTGTCCGAAGCTTTGATACATCACTCTTGATCATCTAAGAATTGTCCTGACAGATTAAAAATTTGGATTTTTTTTTTTAATTTTTTAACAGCCCAGACCAGAAACAAAACGCCGTCGAGCTTTCATATTTCTATCAATATACTATTATCGAAGGCTCTGATATGTGCCCATAATTATGAAAGTGGTCTAAGTCATATATTTTTTATTTCGAAATGACATTGAATTAATTTCGTTTGAAATAATATGGCGTGAAATAACTGATAAACTCATTTTTTTTTTTAATTTTGACTTAGACCACTTTCATAATTATGGGCTCATATGAGAATCGAAAGGGTCAGGAGAATTTTACGACAATTTAGAACACTCTGGTAATCGATAAACTCGCATTTGAACGGGATAAAGGCAAAAAAAGTGTCGTATGCGCTTCTATGCCAAAACGATGGTAATACGAGGTCTCGGAGTTAAAATTTAATTGACCTGGAAATCACAGATGGCGCAGGAGGTCCCTCTGCAGTGAATTAGGGCCCCAGAAAGCATGAATCCAGGGAATTTCTGGAGTTTTACTTTATTACTGCCAACTTTTTACGGAGTTTCGTTCCTCGAGAGATTTATAAAAGGCCTGGACATTTTACCTACGACTATCTTTACGTTCTCATGATGGAGTATCATAATTTCCAACGATACGGAATTATTAAAGGCTCTGATATGAGAATCGAAAGGGTCAGGACAATTTTACNATTTGTATGATCTTAATTTATCAATTATTCTTCCTTATTTCCTATATCGCGAGTATAAGTATTGAATGATATCCCGAGGATATGTTGCCTTCTTCCAGTCGCGACGCCATCTTGGAAGAAGGTGAACCGCCAACAGGAGTCGAAATAAACGTAATTTCTCTTAAATTAAACCTTCCACCTTTGAATCCAGAGGATTTCTGGAGTTTTCCTTCGATTTCTTGATATTTATTGTACGAAAACGACAGGTGGAGTACGCCATTTGGTACAATATCCAATATAATTCGACACAGCTGTCAATATAAAAACCAACGTCGGCAACGGAGGCATTTAGATAAATCTTCTTTATCGACGTCGATCAAGTTCCTCGGCGTGTTTCACTTCACCTTAACAGTGTGCGAGTTCTTTTTTCACGGGCGGTCACGTGACCGTCCTAACCTAGGGAAGCCGAAGAAGAAAATCATGAAGTCGAAGCCGCTCCCGGGACTTTTTTTAGCCAGCAATGCAACGGCAATATGTGCAGGTATTTTTTTCTTTTCTTTTTTTTTTTTTTTCCAATCGCTGGGGTAAATTGATCTCCGCGGACCAGAAGGGGCGGCCATTGTCGACGCCGCTCCCGACGCTCTCGTCCCAGGGTGACTCAGGGTGTGTTTCCAATTGCACCGATCGCGACACATCCCTCCGCAAGGCGAATGAAAGGCAGTCCGGTAACCCCAATAAAGTAGCGATAAATTACCGAGTAGAGGGACCGGTCGCACAATGCAGCCTCCTCCGTTTCCCATTAAAGATTCATTAAAGGGAGTTTATGCCTCGGGTATGTCGGCCGGTGCAACTCTCGTGGCGAGAGGAGCCACGGACTAGACGGAGGTGTGTAAGGGCCACTGATTTATATACTAACAGGATGGCTGGTACCTA